ACCTTGGATAAAAAATAAAAAAGACAAATACAAATTAACCCCATTTAAATCTATTAAAAAAAATAAAATAAAAATTAAAAAGGCAGTCTTTAAATCATTAACCAAAAAATAAAATATTTTATTTGCAATTTGACCCAGAAAAGCTGGTTACATATAGTCTGATCTTAGACCTGCCATATGTATCTAAAATATTATAAAAGGTGAAAGTGAAATCTCATCTAAGTTCCATTTAGCAGAGAAACAGTATTTGTGTACAATTTCCATCAGGATTTACACCTTATAGCACAGAAACTGTGATAATTAAAGCTACAAATTACTTGCTTTTGGAAATCTCTCGCAGCTACTAGTGTTGTAAAAAATTTCGATAAATATCGATACTGAAATATATGAAACGATACCAATACTCATTTCCCAAAGTATCGATACACCGATACCAGCCGAGCTTTGTCGCTTTCACTCTCTCCCTTCTCTCCAACAGCGAGTTGACACACCACACGTGACCGCAGTACCTGTCTTATCTCATATAGAATACGCTTTATTTATAAAACATAACGATAATATTACGACTTATATGTTAGCATCTGCACAAAATGCACTGAATGCATGAACGTCTGTGCAGCTCTGAATGAACTTCTTTTGTGGACTCGTTCTTTATGCAACGTGCAGAAACTAAACAAAAAATTCACAGCATTTTATTATAATAGTGTTCTCATTATAATATTGTGTATATGACAGTCCCAGTCACAAGGCTATGCTTTGTTGTTTGTCCTGCTTGTGCTGCACGCTGAAGAGATAACCACCGTACAATGAAGTGCTTTACTGCAGCGTAATTCAACCAAATGCATCTTATACAAAATAATTAAAATATACACGATATAATAAACCGGCTGAAAGGTTTTGAAATCACTTGTACCCTAACTGATCGAAAAAAATCCAGTCTTTCACTCTGCCTGTGTCAGTTTGAGTCTTGGTAAAGATTTAAATCCTTGCCGACAAGATGCTTCTCTCTGTCGATCACGGGTTATGGAAAGTGAAACTTAAATCTATAGGGTGGTTGGATTTATTCATGCAAGTTAAAATATTTATTTAAAGGGGTCATATGATGCGATTTAAATTTTTCCTTTCTCTTTGGAGTGTTACAAGCTCTTGGTGCATAAAGAAGATCTGTAAAGTTGCAAAGACTAAAGTCTCAAATCCAAAGAGGTATTCTTTATAAAAGTTAAGAGTCACCCACGCCTACCTAAAACGCCTCATTCTAACACGCCCCCACATATCTACCTCACTATTTGGGCGGCGTTATGCAACTCTTCCCAAATCTTCACGCAAAGAAAGAAGGCGTAACTTTTATTCTCGCTGTAGTATTGTTGTTGCTGCCGCCATGTCGTGAAGGCATGAAGTGTGCTTCGTTGTGAAAGCGAAACTACTTTGTTTGGTCTTCCATAAGAGGACGATATTGCTTCGTCATGCCTGGAGCTGATCCGTGCTGGTCGCTGAGGAAATACTTCAACTTCGTGCTGTCGATCGCCGGATCGGCTTTCACCGTGGACGAAGCGGAGTCCCCGCAGGCATCACAATATGGTAAGGGGCGTAACATTTCCATCACACTCTTGAGGTATTCGGCCAATCACAATGCACTGGATAGCTGGCCAATCAGAGCACACCTCGCTTTTTCAGACCGATGAGCTTTGTAAAAATCGACGCGTTTCAGAAAGGCGGGACATAGAGGAGAAACAATAATGTACAGTATGTGGAAAATGTGTTTTTTGAACCTTAAACCACATAAACACATTTCATTACACCAAATACACAAAATAATGTTCTTTATAGCAGCATCATATAACCCCTTTAAAGCTTCTTACTTTTCAGATTCTTATTTACAGCATTATCATTAGGCTGTATATTAACTTATTGGGAGAAAACCGGTAGTTCTATGTGAAATCATAAAGCCTCTGCGAATATTCGACTGTGAGATTGGTAGTCGAATCAGGCTCCTCCTATCAAAGCATCGAATCGTCGACTATTCAGGTCACCCCTAGTAGGTACTCTTGTGCTTAGGTAATTTTTTTAATCTACTGAATAAAGTTATTTAACAAATTTAGCAATTTGTCCTCATGTCATTCCAGTGAGGTTTTCGCATGTGATGCATGCATGTTTGTGCTTCCGTGTTTACTATAGCACTCTATGTATGTGCGTTGATCAATGATTATATGTGAATCCGAAATTAAAATCGGTTCATCATACAAATGTTAATGTATTAACCAACATTAATGAACAATGAGCAATACGTTTGTTACAGTATTTATTAATCTTTGATATAATGTTGTGGCAGTTTTTTTCCGTGGTATCGAATATCGGTATTTTTCAAGGTATCGAATCGAAGTTAGAAATTCCAGTATCGTGACAACACTAGCAGCTACATTTGTCTTCTAATGCTATTAGATCTTTTGACAACATAAACCACAACATTCTCTAAGATAGTAATTAAAGAAAAAAGTCTTGACCAGGGGCGCATCAGGTACTCAAGAGTGAGAGCTTGGGTGCTCCAGAGAGGGAACAAAATGTCAAAAGGCCTGTTTGGGCTGATACGCGTTGGTGTTTTTTAACATGTAGCCCTGTCGCACAATAAAGGCTTTTTATATTTTGCCTGCTATGTGAGTGCCTGGACGTGGATTATTTTTGCTTCTTGCAATGGGATCCACTTTTTGGTTTTGACATTCTCTTAGGATAAGGTGACCATACGTGCCATTTTCCCAGGACAGGTCCTGGCCAGGATTTCTATATTGCCTAAAATATCTAGGTTTTGGCTTTGTTTGCGTGTGCAGACCGATCGGTGTATGACATCAAAATACCATACAGACAGTTCCTTATGCTTTCAAAATGCTCTTGAGATATTTTGATGTCATACACCGATCGGTCTGCACACGCAAACAAAGACAAAACCTAGATATTTTAGGCAATATAGAAATCCTGGCCAGGACCCGTCCTGGGAAAATGGCACGTATGGTCACCCTATCTTAGGATAGCTTTAGAATTACATTGGACATTTGTAGACAAGCATGGTTTAGGTCAGGGATCCTCAAATCTGGCCCACGAGATCCACTTTCCTGCAGAGTTTAGCTCTAACCCTAATCAAACACACCTGCGCATGCTAATCAATGTCTTCAGGATCATTAGAAAATCACAGGTAGGTTAATTTGATCAGGGTTGGAGCTAAACTCTGCAGCGCATTGGCCCTCCAGGGCAAGATTTGAGGAACCCTGGTTTAGGTCCTATGTATCTGACCTCCATCACTTTGTTTTTGTAAATGACAAAATAGTATTAAAGGGATAGTTCACCCAAAAATGATTTGATGTTTATCTGCTTACCCCCAGGGCATCCAAGATGTAGGTGACTTTGTTTCTTCAGTAGAACACATATGATGATTTTTAACTTTAACCGTTGCAGTCTATCAGTCGTATAATGCATGGCAATGGTAACAAAATCTATGAGAGTAAAAAAAACATGCACAGACAAATCCAAATTAAATTAAATTAAAGCCTGCGGCTCGTGACGACACATTGATGTCCTAAGACACAAAACGACTGGGAAACGCCAGAGCGCGTACACACCTCACGCACCGGATGCCGTGCGCGCACCCAAAGACAGTTGGACATAGTGTATTAGAGGTAAAAAATGATATAAATACTGTTCGGTTTCTCACACAAACTGATCATTTCGTGTCTTAGGACATCAATGTGTCGTCACGAGCCGCCGGGTTTAATTTGGATTTGTCTGTGCATGTTTTTTTTTACTCTCATAGATTTTGTTACCATTGCCATGCATTATATGACTGATAGACTGCAACGGTTGGACTTAATCATCAAATGTGTTCTACTGAAGAAACAAAGTCACCTACATCTTGGATACCCTGGGGGTAAGCAAATAAACATCAAATGTTCATTTTTGGGTGAACTATCCCTTTAAAGCCTGGTGTCACAGACAGGTCTTAAATTAAGACAGGATTAGCCAAGGTCTTAGTTAAATTAGGACATTATTTTGTTATTTTATTTACTTTTTTAATGTGCCTTAAAATACATTACTGCTGTGCATCTTGATACAAATACATATTTTAAGATACATCAGTACAAGTTGCATTGAGATAAGATAACACAAAGATGTATTTTAGTCTGGGACTAGGCTTAAGCATTGTCCGTGACAGCAGGCATAAAAGTATCAGTAGTGATTAAGCTTTTTTATTTATTTAATTTGAATAGTTATAAAATATACAAATTATAAAATTGAGCACATTTTTACACTGTGGAAAGTTTGTTCATATTATTGATTTTAAAATTAATTGGCAATTAATCAGTTTATATTATACTAGTTTATATAAGTCATATTTTTCTAAATCCATCATCGGTTGACACTAATTGATATGGCATGTAATAATGAGGATTTGGCTGGTTATGTGATGTCAACATGCCTGTCCACATAAGAAGCCTCAAGCTTTGAGAATGGAAACCAACCTGTTTGTTCCTCAGCATCTTCTTGTTTCACTTTAAATGCCTCTTCAATTTTAATGTCTTCGCTCTCCTCCTTAATGAACGCCATCTTTAGTACGTCACGTGGATCTCACTGTCATATGATGCGATTTCAAGTTTTCCTTTCTCTTTGGAGTGTTACAAGCTGATTGTGCATAGATAAGATCCCTGAAGTTGCAAAGACTAAAGTCTCAGAAGCAAAGAGATATTCTTTATCAAAGTTAAGACTCTGCCACACCCCGTTCTAACACGCCCCCACATATCTACCTCACTGTGTGGAAATATTTGCATAATGCGCCCAAATGTGCACGCAAAGAAAGAAGGCGTGTCAGAGCAGACTGCGCTTGTCGGAAGGAGGGACTTTGTAGAAAACTAAGCGTTTGAGAGAGACGGGGCATAGAGGACTTACAATAATGTACAGTATTTGAAAGAATAATGTGTTTTTTGAACATTAAAGCATGTCAGCATATTCTGTTACACCAAATACACAAAATAATGATCTTTAAAAAAGCATCATATGACCCCTTTAAGAATACTCTATAAGTAGTTTTAAAAAAAGAGAGAAATAAACAAAAAGCCAACATCATAAATAAATACATACAACAAATCGCACTTTTAACGTACAAATGTTTTGTAAAATTGTGACCAGCAGGTGATTCGAGCGCTACAATCCAAACAGAGTAACGTTAAGAAAAACTCGTACTTTACGCCTCACGAGAAATGTTACATTCTGAAATGCGTTCAGCGAGATTACATTTACTGCGTGAATCATTTCGGGAAGCATTGATTCAATTGACTCGAGTTTCGAAAAGCTTCGTTTCTTCCAGCACTACTTACCTGTATCATATTTCGTTTAAAATAAACTGATTCGTGATCTGAGAGAAACGAGACGCACCTTTTCTGTTACTCATGTGGTGGTGCGAAATAGCCACAAAACTAACGCTCATTAATGTTAGATAAAGTAGTTCAATTTCACATTTAGTCATTTATGAATTCATCACAAAGTTCTTTTAACATGAAACATTTAAATACTAAATCGCCTTAGCGGTTTACAATGATCTGAACGCACTGAACGCTTAAAAACACAAACCTGTGTGCAGCCGAATCACATCTAGAGTGCTTTGCTCTCACGGAGGAGCGCGAGGCAGACTTGTGACGTCATGTCACCAGACCAAAATAAAAGCACTTTTCAGTGTTCACAAAACTACACCAAAATGTATGTAATTTTATTGTACAAAATATTGATAATCATTTTGTTTTGTTATGGAAAGATGTATTATTTGGTATATTGGAGAACAGCAAAGAAAAGCACAGTCACGTTTATTTGCACAGTACATGCAAAATTTCATATTCACAAATGTAAGTTCTCATGCAAAAAACATGTTTTTTTTCTTTTAGGAAGGAAATGGAGCATTATATTGATACTACACGATTTTCTATGAAACAAAAAGCAATTAAAACGGTGAAAGTTTGTAAACGCTTTAATATTTTTATATACATTTTGTATACAGCCCCTCTAGTGTGAAATTGTTTATTTCATGTATAATGTTTATTGTTTATATCATGTATAGTGTTTGTCATATACATGTATTTTGATCTTGTTAATAAAAAAATAAAATAAAAAAAACTTTTCAGTGTTCACTACGTAAGAAAAAATTCTCCGATTCGCAGCCTACCTTTTCACATTCCTTAATTTAAGTTGCATTTATTAAATCTCTTCGGTTGATTGAAAATGAGAAAAGTGATAAATTCTTGAAATTGTACGTTTTTTGGGGGGTTGTACCACTGATGCATACGTTTTCCTCTGTATGTGTTTTATATTGTTATCTCTTTTTTCATTTGATATTTATTAGGTTTTTTTTTAACTCATTTTTAGGGATGGGCGATACCACTTATTTTGGTTTCGATACGATACCGATATTTTTCAAGGCAGTATCATCGATACCGATACAATACTTCTGAACTAACCTTTTAAATTATGAAATTTATTAAATTACTAAGTGTAAAATGGGTAATGATAACCACTTAACTTTATGTTTAAAAGCACTTTTCAGTGTTCACTACATAAGAAAAAATTATCTGATTCGCAGCCTACCTTTTCACATTCCTTAATTTAAGTTGCATTTATTAAATCTCTTCGGTTGATTGAAATAAATTCTAGAAATTGTATGTTTTTTTGGGGGGGGGGGGGGGGTGGCCCCTTCT